TCACTGTTGTACAGTAGAGGTAAAGCAGCACCTCTCCCAGAGCAGAGGACAGCCAGGATCCTGGCACTCAGCATCCGCTGTGCTGGCAGCCAAAGGGGAAGGGAAGGCAGTGGAAAGGCTGCTGCTGCTTGGGGGCCAAAACTCTGCCCAAGAAAGCCCCTTCCTCATCAGGAGACAGGGCAGTCCCATGTTCCACAGCTCCAAGGCAGGGATTTCTTCCCACTTTCATCACCCACACAGCAAGAGAAGCACCAACACCACCCCCCCCCAGATGTGTCTTCACAATGTTCAGTCATAGGCAGTGGTCAGAAGAGGGGGATATTTCTCTCCAACCTCCATCCTTGACAGTAGAGTCACATTTTGGGCTGGCAGCACGCAGCAGTGAGCTCTTTAAAAATCTGCTGAGGAAGGCACTTGCACAGCACATGGTTTGGGCAGATCAATGAAGCTGCAAAGCAGCCTGGCAGGCACACAAATCCACTTTCTAATGAAATTTACAGCAAGTGGAATTTAGGTCACTACTCGGAAGCATTCAGTTTATTCCAGGCAGCTTTTAAAATATTTAAGAAATAGCTGTCAAATTAAGCCTGCTCACCTCTGACTGCAAGGTCCAGCTTGGAGCCATGGCAGATTTCTTAGCTATGGCTTAAAATATATATATTTTTAAAGGCTGCTGCTGCTTGGGGGCCAAAACTCTGCCCAAGAAAGCCCCTTCCTCATCAGGAGACAGGGCAGTCCCATGTTCCACAGCTCCAAGGCAGGGATTTCTTCCCACTTTCATCACCCACACAGCAAGAGAAGCACCAACACCACCCCCCCAGATGTGTCTTCACAATGTTCAGGCATAGTGGTCAGAAGAGGGGGATATTTCTCTCCAACCTCCATCCTTGACAGTAGACACCCCTCTGGGTGGGTTTGGGGTATTTCCAGTCCCTCCCATATTCCCAGCTGCACAGGCTCTGTGTCTGGAGACAGATGAGGGAAACCCATGTTTTGTAATCTCACCCTCTGGAGACCATTTCTGTGATAACCAATGCCCTTCAACATGAGCATGCCCTCCTGGCCCAAACCCACCCCTGGGTTTGCTGCCAGGGCTGTTTTCCACTCCAGCCTGGCAGTGCTGGGAGCATCCTTGGGCAGGAAGGCTCCTCTTCAAAAGCCAGCTCTGCTCCAGGCTGTGAACTGGGAAGAGCTGTTAGAGCTCCTGCCAGGGGCCAGCACTTCATTCCTGTAGGGTGGGGTTGGGGTTAGGCCTTTATTTGCAGCAATCTGCCTGCCCAACTCCCCCAAAACACAGCAAGGCCACGGGGCTTCCAAAACTTGAGTTTCATACTATGATGGAGCCTTTCCCCAGGCTGGGGGTCCCCCAGGAGCAGAAGTGCCAGGGGCAGAGGGACAGCCCCAGAATAGGGCTCCCATGGGGCAGGCAGGGCTGGGTATCCAACCTCAGGGCTGCAGGGACCTTCCCCTCACCCAGTAATCCAGCCCAACCAGGCAACTGCTCCGTGTCTGACAACACAGGAGCTGAACCCCCCCACTGCAGGAGGGAAACCAAACATGTCACAGAGAGCTGTGGTTCTGCAGGGGCCCTGTGTCCCTGTGGTGCTGCACAGAGCCCCTCTCCAGTCCCTTTAACCCCGGCAGGTGGGCTGCAAGGACACTGCCACAGCAAGGGAGCTCAGCATCCCCTGTGTGACCCTGCTCAGGCCTGGGGAGGTGCATGTTGCTCCAGCATCCACAGGTGTGGCAGTCCCAGCTCTCCCCAGGCTGTTTTCCCTGGTAAGGCTCAATCTGTGCCATCTGTGCTACCATCACACCTCTCCACGAGATCCAAAGCCGTGGTTGCACAGGGACAGACAGCACTTTGGGGACAGCAGGAGGTGAGGAGGCTTTTTCCAGGGGGTGTCACAACCACAGGTGACAGTGCTGGAGAGCAGAGAGCTGCTGGCAGCTGCCAGGGTTGTGAAAGTCTTTGGCCTTCATGGCGTGGGATGGGGATTTGGGAGCAGAGCACACCAAGTGAGCTGAAGACAGTGACATTTTCCTTCCTAGCTGCTCCATCCATGCCCACGCAGCCGGTGGGATGACTCTGTGCAACTAATGATGCAACGTGATTAGTAAACAAATCATGCATTTGCACCAGGAAACAAAAAAAAAAAAAAAAAAAAAAAAAAAAAGAGGAAAAAAGGGTAAAAGAAAGAAAACGAGTCACATTTTGGGCTGGCAGCACGCAGCAGTGAGCTCTTTAAAAATCTGCTGAGGAAGGCACTTGCACAGCACATGGTTTGGGCAGATCAATGAAGCTGCAAAGCAGCCTGGCAGGCACACAAATCCACTTTCTAATGAAATTTACAGCAAGTGGAATTTAGGTCACTACTCGGAAGCATTCAGTTTATTCCAGGCAGCTTTTAAAATATTTAAGAAATAGCTGTCAAATTAAGCCTGCTCACCTCTGACTGCAAGGTCCAGCTTGGAGCCATGGCAGATTTCTTAGCTATGGCTTAAAATATATATATTTTTTAAGCTTTCTTTGCTTGCCCCCTCCCTTCATCACCACAGCACAGGGATTGGCATCAACTCTTGCCATGCAGACCTGGCTCTGCTGGGAGCTGGGAGCTCAGAGCTCTGAGGATGCTCAGGCTCTGCCCAGCCCCATCCTTCCCCAGGGACAGGCAGTGAGACACCAGACGTGTCCTTCCTGCAGCCTGTGCCCAAAGGACTTCAGCTGCTGCAGCCAGACCTAAAAACAGCTCTTGAGGGAGCAGCTAAAAGCAGCCTCTTAGCAGCAGAGGTGAGCCTTCACCTAGTGGAAGGGTCTGGGCTGCACTGCGGGTTGCCAGTGCTATTCCCAGATGTCACACTCCAAGACAGCTGCCAGAGCATCTTCAGTGGGGGGTGGAGGGAGAGGAAAGGTGGCAAACAAGCAGTTCTCTGGCTGTTTACCCAGCAGAAGTGGCCACAGCCCTCAGTCTGTGACAGCACACTCACAATTCCTGCAGAGATCAGAGCAGGCCAGACATTTCCACTTCCAACAGGGCAAAGGTCAAACCCTTACATAACACAGACAGTGGGAGCTGATTGCTGCTCCAGCTTTCGGTCCAGCCAGGCACAGAGCTCAAAGTTCTTCCAGCCTCAGCACAAACCAGGAGCAGAGCAGGGGAGAGCAGAAGGCAGCCCTGGAGCGGGGCTGGGCTCAGTGCAAGGGGAGACACCACAGGCACAGCCTGGCCCTCTCAGGGCTGTGCTTTGGAGGATAAAGAGGTTTCCCCATAGCTCACCAACCTGCCCCACCTTGGCAGCTGCCCTCAGCTTGTTCACCACAGCCTGGGCATCTCCCCTGCCCACAAGGAGGGATGCTCCCCTTCCACAGGGTCTGACCAGATCCCAGCACAGCCCCAGTGCTCAGGATGTGGCCTGGCTGCAGTTGAGGTATAACACAGGTGCCTGTGCAAACACCTCTGCCTCCTTCCTCATTATACACATAAATATCCATTTCATGCTCAGCTGATGGAGGATTTGGTTGGCTGGGTTATGATGCTGGCTGCTGCTCCACAGCTGGCTCTGCACCAGGATCTGGCACTGGGGACACGGTCTCTGAGCTCCCTCCCATCAGCACTCCTGGCCATGGATGAGCACACCAGAGCTCACTCAGACACCATCCCTGTGTTCATCCTGGCCCTTCTTCCACCTCATTGTCTCTCCTGACAGAGTTCCATGTCAATCCCTGCACCTCTCCTGTCTCTTTTGCTCCACTCCTTATCCATAGGGATGTTATTGAGTCTGGAAGAAGTGATCCTTGGATATTACCCAGCTCTCTGGGACCCCTCTTCCCTCTAGGACATTTAACCATAGGATTCCTGCAAGAAGGTCCCTGGAAAGGCCAGTTAGCTGTTCCCATGCCCAGGCTCTGACTGGACATCCCTGGCAGCACGTGGAGGCCTGGGTCCTCCTGACACCACAGAGCTGCACATCCCACCTGCCTGTGGAGCTGCTCCCCTCCCAGATGGATCCAGCTCCAAAATGTCTGCAGACCCACAGGATACCAGCAGCTGGAGAGGAGCCTGTGTTCCTCCACAGCCACAGCACCACCGGCTCACCCAGACACCCAGCTCTCCTCTGGCCGCTCCCTCAGGCACCGAGTGCTGCAGCAAGGCAGCGCTGCTGGGTCCAGTTCTGCTCAGGATTTTGTTCTTAGCAAGACACTTGGAGGCAGAATTTAGCAAGGAAGAAATCCTATACCTGGCCAAGGAGCCAACCTCGAGCTGAGCAGCACATCCTGCAAGCACAGGGAGCACACACAGCCCAGCAAGCAGCACGGGCTTGTGGAATTTCACAGCACACTGGTGTCAAGCTTGGCTTGGGAAGGTTGCAGAGCAAGTGGAAATTCCCTCCAGGAAGGGAAATCTAGCAGCCAGGCTCTTTTGCAAGTAAAACATTTGTTCCTGCTGTTTAAGATAGGAGAGGGAACTTGGAATGGTCAAGGTATCCCTCCAGGAAACCTCGTCCAGGAGCTGGGCACGACCTGATCCAGAGCAGAGCTGCCTCCCTGCACACTCCAGCTGCTGCTCCTGGCTGCAGGCTGCCCAGGGACACCCGTGGCACGCTCCGAGCCCGGCTGGCAGTTGTGTAACGCAGCCTGGGCTGCTGCCAGGGCACGGAGCAGGGATCTCCCGAGGGATATAATCCTGCTACAGCCTCACTGCCTGCACATCCGAGAACGGAAAGGATCCCGGTTTTCCCATTTCCCTGAAAACAAAGAATTCTGCGGAGCTCCACACCCTCTAGTGGAGGTGGGAGCTCGGCACACCCAAATCCCAAATAATCCCAATCCCACAGCACTGCCGAGCTCAATGCAGGATCCGACTGCCTGACAGCTCCCCAGGCAGGGCTGGGGCACATCTGCAGGGTGTGACAGCGCTGGGGACAGTGCAGGTGTCACTTCTGCACAGCCACCTGCAGCAGGTGCTCAGGCACAAAAGGATTAAACAAAACAAAGAAAGTTAACTTTGAAAAATGGATTTTATTCATGTTCATCATCCAGTTAGGCACAACTGCTTTCTATAACCTACAGGAAAGCTGGAGGGGAAATTTTTACAAGAGCCAGGACAAGGGGGAATGGTTTCAAGAGGCACAGGGAAGGGTTAGACGGGGTATTGGGGTATTAGGGAGGGTGGGAGGCCCTGGAACAGGGTGCCCAGAGAAGCTGTGGACATATTCAAAGCCAGGCTGAACTGGGCTTGGGGCAAGCTGGGATAGTGGAAGGTGTCCCTGCCCATGGCAGAGGGTGGAAGGAGATGGTCTCCATGGTCCCTTTCAGCCCAAACCCCTCTGATTCTGTGATAACCCAAAAAGACCACACAGGAATTACCAAACTGCAAGAGCAGCTCTCACCATCCTGCAGAATCACCTGAAAATAAAAAACCAAGGTGTTCAGCCAGGAATGCTAAAGCCAGAGCCCCCATCCCACATAGACCCATCTCCTCTGGATCAGTGTTAACTGAAGCATCATCTACCTCAGCCCTCCCTAAAATCCTTCCCAAAACCATCTCTACCACGAGCACTTCCAGAGCCCCATCACCCATCCCACGGCAACAATAAACTGGAAAAGCACTTGTTATTTTGGCAAGGAATGTTTGCCAGGAGGCAGGATCACTGTGGTGCCAGGTTCCCAGCACAGGCCTTCCCCTCTCCCTTCCCACACCTGCCAGGGCACACGGTCCCCTGAGGTGTCCCCAGGTGAACCCCCTGCTGCAGGAGAGAAACCAGACATGCAAACAAGAGAGCAAAGTACACAACTTCCAACGAAGCCTTACATTTGCTCAAGTGCAGAAACCACCTTATCACTACTCCCTGCTACGTGGGGAACAAAGTTGCAACTCAAACAGCATCTAGTGACAAATCAAGTACCCAAGTTCCCACTGCCATACCTGAGAGCACCGGTTTGATTTTGCAAGACATTTTCAAAAGGAGACTCAGTACACATTAAAAACCCCCAATCTAACCAGTTTTTCCTTGGATTAGGGGTGCAGCTGTTGTATGCAGTATCATACATGACCATCAAAATGCTTCATGAATGTTCACACCTGTTACTGCACAGGTGAGGCCCAGCACGGAGCCCACCTGGGAGCTGCTCTCGGGCACGGGTGAGGCTGGCTGGTACCACCCAGCAGCCCTTTCCCAGCCCACAGACCCTGAACCCCTGCCCAGGAGGGGCACATGGGGCTCCCACGACTCACCTGGTGCTCCCTCACCTCAGGAATGGAAGCACCGAGTCCCACCCGTGTCACCATGTGGGGCTGAGCCCCGGCAGGAAACCCTGTCACACACAAAGCTCTGGGACAGTCACAGCAAAAACACATCCTGCTCTGGCTGCTGGCCCTGGGGCTGGCCCTGCAGCCCCCTCCCCACCACACACCTCACCCCTTACACTGCACGGGCCCCTCTCTGCTCTCCCCCTGCTCTGGGCCCAACACCTCCTCAGGGAGCAGCCACACCCCAGCCCACCTACAGACCTCCTGCACAATCCCAAAGCCCCAGGAGACCCCAAACCCTGCGGCCCCCAATGCTCCAGCCCCCCAAAGCCTGCCTCCCCCAGCCCGCACTGCAGTCCCTCACTGACCCCCACTACACCCCAACATCCCCCCTGCACCCCCACAGCTGCCTCCCCCAGCCCACCACAGAACCCCACAGCCTGTCCCCCAGGCCCTCACTACCCCCTCACTGCATCCCAAGCCCCTGTCTGCCCCGGCCTCAAGTTCACCCCTCCTCCCACACCGTCCTCCAGCCCCACTGCAGCACCCCCTGCAACCCCACACTTACCCCGTACCTCAACACCTGCCACCCTGATCCCAAACCCCCTCTGCACCCCCAAATCCAGCCGCCCCCAGCACCCCCAAACCCTGCACTCCACTACCTCGCTTCACCCACTCCGCACCCCTCCAGCGCCCCAAACCCCGAGTTCTCCATGCCCCAACACCGCCCCCAGCCCCTGCTTGCCCCCATTACCGCCCCTCCTGCAGCCCACACTCTGCCCCCGACCCTCATTAACCCCAGCGCTCCAAGCCCCCACGCCCCCGTGCCCGCCATGGCCCCGGCTCTCCCTCACGCCCCCGTGCCCGCCATGCCCCCCGCCCTCCTTCAGCACCACGCGGCCGGAAGCGCGACGGGAAGGGCACCGAGAGCAGCCGCGGGCCAGAGCGCCGCGCGGGGCACGGCCCGCCAGGGACATCGCCCTCGTGCGGCGAGAACTGGGACTGCAGCGGCGGCCGGGACCCGCCGGGAGCGGAGCCCGGGAACGGGAGGGGAACGGGAGAGGAACGGGAGGGGAACGGGAGGGGACCCGCCGGGAGCGGAGCCCAGCGCTGTGGCCTCGGGAGCGGCAGAGAACGGGACCCCGTGCAGGTCGGAACGGCCCGACCGGGCAGGGTCTGGCTTTGGAGCTGCTGGTGCCAAGGGAGCCCCGGAGATGCTCCAGGGCTGGAGTCAAGGAGATGCTCCAGGGCTGGGGTCATGGAGATGCTCCAGGGCTGGAGTCACGGAGATGCTCCAGGGCTGGAATCACAGAGATGCTCCAGGCCCGGAGTCACGGAGATGCTCCAGGGCTGCAGTCACGGAGATGCTCCAGGGCTGGAGCCCCTTGGCTCTGGAGCCAGGCTGGCAGAGCTGGGGGTGCTCACCTGGAGAAGAGATGGCTCCAGGAGAGCTCAGAGCCCCTTCCAGGGCCTGAAGGTGGCTTATGAAAAGATGGAAAGTGACTTTTTACACAGGCAGACAGCAATAGGACAAGACAGAATCGTTTTACTAAAAGGAGTGAGGAAGAATTTCCTCCCTGGGAGAGTGCTGGCACACTGGCACAGGGTGCCGGAGCAGCTGTGGCTGTCCCATCCCTGGAAGTGCCCAAGGCCAGGTTGTTCCTCCTGGGACAGTGAAGGGTGTCCCTGCCGTGGCAGGGTGGAATGAGATGGTGTTTTAGATCCTTTTCAACCCAAATCATTCCATGATTCCACTACTATAATCCCCCCAAAGGCAAAATCTCTGCACGCAGAGAGTTCAGAGGCTGTTCTTGGCTAGAGCTGAAACCACAGGGCAGTTAATACAGAGTAAATCGCTATTTTGATTTAATATTCTGCTGATGGTTCTCAAGGCTGCCTGTTTATGTTGAATTGTGCTTCACTTTCAGTGACTCTGACAGCCCCACTCCTGGCTGAGAGAGAAGCTTTCAGCACAAATACAGGTATCTCTCAAGAAATTTAATCACAATTTTCCCTCCAAGACATTCTGGTATAAACAGCCTGGGAGCAGAAAACCACTCCAACACACAAGCAATAACTTGCTCCCTGATGGCTCATTAAAAATGAAGCAGTGTTTAGTTTTATTTCTGCAGTAACACATTTTAGCAGACCTCTTATAAAATATACATACAGGTCCAAGCCGTGCAAAACTGGATGGGAGGAGCAGCTGGGAAAAAACCCAGCACCACACCACCAGCAAACAAAAACTCATTTTTTGCCCATTAAAGCTTAGCGCAGCCTCTGGGAGCTGGCACAGCCACACGGGGATTGAGTGACACAGGGACAGGTTTGTGCCACCAGCCCAGCCCCAGGCTGAGCCAGCTGAGCAGGTAATTCCACACTCACATTCCCCTGGACTGGGTGCCTGCACCGCTCAGAGCCTGCTCTGAATACTGAGCTCTTCATTTCCTCGTGATTTCCCTTCTGCCCTTGTAAATACACAGCAGGAGCGTTCTACAAATACCCAGGAACATCTTTCCAGTCCCTGTGAAAGCAGAGGGCACGATCCCTGCTTTGCACAAGGAATTGTGATGCAGGGGGATGAATGAAAACACAAACACCCGCAGATCTGAGGAGCTGACTCTGCAAAAGCTGCTTTTGTGCTTCTCAGAGTACAAAGCCCTTCCCTGCTGCCCCTTGACCAGCCCAGGGATCTCCCCTCTCCCAACACAGCCCTGCTTTTCATGCCTTGCTGGTTTAATGCTGAAGTCATAATGCTCAGTGTTCTTTTTTTTCCTTACAGATTTGTAGAATCTTTGAGGTTGGAAAAGACCTCCAAGATCATAAAATCCATCTGTGGTTGCAGTGAAATCCTTTAGGGGTGCTGGGTACCCAGAGCACGGTGGGAGAGCCCTGGTGATGCCTCAGGTATCAGCTTTTCTATTTTTCAGATTCTGTGCTGCTTTAGTGTGTGGGTCTGAGCTTCATATCAGGGCATGGTGAGCTCTGTGCACAGAGCAGGGAGACAAAACAATTCCTGCTCCAGCTGGGCACCAAGGACAAATGATCCAAATCTCAGCCCAGGAGCACAAACAGCGTGGGCTGAAGAGATAAAAACAAGAAGGATGGGACTTGATGGGCTAAAGCTGGAATTGGACAATTAATTCTAATATGCAAATGGAGCAGAGCTGATCCCAGGGAGAGACCCTGAGACCTCATGTCCATTTTGGGACCATTTTGGTTCATCTTGGGTGCAGCCCTGGCTGGGCTCTTGTACTGCCCAAGGTGCATCCATTGAGGAGATCCTTTTCATAAATCCCTGCTTTATTCTTTAACTCTGTCCAGTTTCTGTTCTAGGTCAGCCTTGAGGCATCCCTGGAGCCAAATGTGCAGTGGTTGATGAGCTGCCAGGCTGTGCTGGCTCCCCAGGCACACTCTGAGCCCCCACAGCCTTGTTTGCCACCAGCCTGGCAGGGAGTGGAGGGCCAATCCCACCAGTCACCCATTCCCTCCCTGGCCCAGGGCAGCTGTGTGCAGAATAAAAGCATTTCACACCCTTCGGGGAGTTTTATTTGTGAGGGTAAAAGCATTTCACACCCGTGGCATTCACATTCTCTGAACATGATCCCTTCACCCATGGTTTTTCTCCTGGGAAGCTGAAAGGGAGCGAGAGGCCTCAGAGAAAAGAAAACAATTCTTATCCCATTTGCTTCTCCTGTGTGGTGCTCATGTGGAATGTGTTTGGAGATTGTTTACCCACAGGTGATTGTTTCATTGGGTTCTGCTGTGAGTTGTTTTGGCTCTTTGGCCAATCAGTGCCAAGCTGTGTCAGGACTCTGGAAAGAGTCACGAGGTTTCATTATTATCTTTTGAGCATTCAGTAAATGCTCCTTCTGTATTCTTTAGTATAGTATAGTGTAGTATTCTTTAATATAATATAGTATAATAAAGTAATAAATTAGCCTTCTGATAAGACGGAGTCAGATGCATCCTTTCTCCCCCTCGTTGCTGACCCTGCATTTACAATACACACCCATTTCTGCAAAGCCTGCATCCTGCTGATCCCCCTGTGCCCCCTCAGACTCAGTCCTTTGCTCCAAGGGAGCCAGGGGCTGGCCAGCTGCCACACCCTGCAGGGTTCCATCCCTCCTGGGTGCAATCCTGCCCAGCTCTGGCCAGCTGGAAACTCTGTGTATCTCATCTGTGCAGCCCAGCTCGGGCTGCCTGGCTGATGGCAGGGACACTGCTGAAAACAAACAATCCTTTTTTTCCCCTTTTGATAAAAGAAAACATTGCCTCTCTGAGATTTACACAGCAGATCAAGCATAAACCTGAATTCTCTCCCTCCTCTCTTTCTCCAGGGAGCAGATAACGGGTGGATGTCTCCATCCCTCTGCTTTGTTCCTCATCACCCGGCTTGGCAGCGTTTTGGTTGCTGTTAAACCACACTCACATTTGACATTTAAAGGGCTGTTGTTTGATTGCTGTCACAGTCCTCTGCGTGGATCCTTCAACCACTTCCCTCCTCCTCTTCCCGCCAATGATGGATTTTCTGCTTTACTCCACAGTAATTTGCTTTCCTCATGCTGTGCTCCAGCAGAATGCTTTCACTGTCAGACGTGGGCATTGGTTCTTGCCCACGGTGCCACACCACACCTGAGCAGCTCTGGGCACACTGGAGCTGCCCTGGCTGTCAGCAGTGTCAGGAAAACTGGACAGCACGTGGATCTGGGAGCCTGGTCCTGCTGGGGCTGGATCCTGCTGCCTTCGGGGTCGCTGCTGTGGTGTGGGATGTGCCAGACCACAGATATTCCTGGTGGGGTCAGTGCCTTCCACAGCTGATCCATTGCCCCCACGTGGAATATCCCACGGGATGAGAGGACACGGGCTCCAGGGTGAGCAGCACCTGGTGCCTGAGGGTGGTGTCAGGAAAATTAATCCACAAACACCAGAGGTTTATGTCCGAAAAGGAGACAGAGGAGTCCTTTCACTTTATTCAAATAAAGGGAGAGGCCATGGGGCATTCCCCTGGGGCCTCTCAAGTTTTTGGAGGATGCAGCCTCCTTTATATCCCAATTTCCCACATTTCCCTCTCTCTTTCCGCATTTCTGAGGTACTTGAGAGGTCCAGACTTCCTGAAATTCCTCATACCAGAGATTTCCCTCTAATGTATAACCCTCCCTTTTAATTTTTAATTCTTATGGAATTTAGGATTTTTCCCCATTGTTTCTTTCATCTTTCAATATCCAGTTTCATTTATCAGCAAACCTAAAGTTTATTTGTAAAAGCAAATATCATTTTCCATTCATCAATCAGTAGAATCTTTCCCATTGTTTCTTGTATCTCCCAGTGCTGGTTTTATCCACCAGCAGACCCACAGCTTGTTT